AACAGAAAACGGGCCACGTAGGACTGCCACGTCAGTAATGCCACCAATCATCGTGCGCCGCGTGGCAGACACGCGGACGTGCATCCACACGGGTGATCTGCGTACTAACTAATCTGACGGACCAGATCTACTCCCGCGCGCACGGACGGTTTAGATCCGTTTCCTTCTCAAGCACAATCGAATGACCCTGATCAATCTGATGTTGCAACCTAGATTCATTCCCTATATAAGATTGATCCAATGGTTGGGAATGAGCCACGTCTCCTCAAACGAATGATCTTGATTTAATGAAGATGAGTATTTAATAAACTCCTCTTCCCCAGAATTCTTAACCCTAACCGTAACCAATCCTATTGGAGAAGAAGAAAAAGGTGGCCGGAAGGAAAACCAACCATTGTCACTACTGCACCAGAGCCTCTGCTGACACTGGGGAGGTGAGTTTGTTTTTTCTTTCGCTTCGAAATTCGATTCTAAGCCTCCCCACACGCATATCGGCGACGAAAAACCAAAAAAGAAGCAAAAAACTGAGGTGGAGCTTGGCTGAACCACCGCACCCATAACCCAAAACCCCTTCGGTGAGCCCGAATCCCCTTCCTATTTCCTTATATTTTTTGATAATTGAATTCCTAACTTTTTTCTGGTGTAGGACGATTGAAGAAAACCCCCAACCGCAAGGGAGAAATGGCGGAGAGGTCGCATAAAAAAAATCACCCTGCCGGTAAGCTTTGGATTTTCCCTTTTTCTGGCCAACAAAGGCCACCTAATCTCGAATTTTGCAGGTTTTCGCATAGGACTGGCCAAAATTAGCCAGACCTAGAGGAGACATCGCTGTAGGTAGCGGAGCCGGCACCGGAGCACGGCGGCGTCGTCGTGCCGGAACCCTAAACTGGTTGAAAAATTATAAAATTCTTATTTTTGACATTTTTTTGGGTATTTTGATATATGCAACGCGTGTTTTCAATTTTTGCAGAAAAAATTCAAGAGATCCAAGAACCACCAGAAACTGCAGTGAAAAAGGCGATGTTTCAAACACTGATTTAGGGTAAGAATATCTCACCATTTCTTTCGTTACGATTAATCAAAGCTTAAATAATAATAAATGGTGAAATTTTAGAATATTAATAATTTTTTATTTATTAAATATAGGTCACTAATAGAGCTGGTAACTGGTCAGTGTATAATTTATCTATGTTATATTTTTGTTTTTATATTGTCTTAATTGCTTACTGTTACATCAGAGCTTTAATTTATTAATTTTAATTGCCTTTTTAGTTGTTAGTTTACGTAACCATTTTATCCCTATCAGTTGATTGATCTAAAATAAATCTCCTAACTATATTTTTCTTAGTTATTAAAGTATCAACTTATATTGTTTGTTTGATTGCCGTCATATTGTCCCGTAATTATGAAATAAAAATCTTATATGAAATTGATGGTTGGTTGATGATGAGGATATATATATGGAAGGCTTACCTGGTGTCATGGAAAAGGGTGTACGGACTTAGTATATAAGGCGAACCCTACCATGGACATTACCTCAATCGAATATGGCTGACAAGTCTCATATCGGAAGATGTTGGGAGGTATTTGTTCACACTCATATCGAACGGGGTATTGAGTCAGTGGTACATTTGGCGTCCCTTACCGAACATGGTATGAAGACGACTGATTATTTAGTAGATTGGATATTAGGTCCATGTATAGAAAAAACTCTTATGGATCCCTAGAGACACCGGTAAACAAGTAAAAAGGTAAAGTTTGATTATTGTTATTTCTTAGAATGTCTAATGAATTACTGTATTGATTCTTGCGTTCACAAGGCGTATTTGAGAACCTAAAAGATGAGTACGAAACTAACATTTTTAAAATTAAATGAATTTACCTTAAAAAGAAAATAGCTCCATTGATTGTTTTGCGATTTTTATCAACCTTTAATTTTCTATTTCAGTTGTTAAGTGTTGATATTTTTACTGAGATAATGTAACTTATTTTCCTTTTTTAATCATTTAAGATCAGGACAATCAAGATTCAGATTCTAAATAGTCAGAAAGTTAGCGATTTAAGGTTGCATTCCGTTTTCCACTAATTACGCTGTAGAG